CATTTTAGTTTGTAATCTGCATATAAATATATTGAGATATTTCACATTCTTTTTTACCTCCTGATTCTTCAGGTGTCTGGTGTGTATTTTACATTTATGAAGGTGAAAATGAAAGTCGCTCCATTGTGTCTGACTCTTTGTGACCCCATGGACTATATAGTCCATGGAATTCTCCAGGCCAGAATACTGGAGTGGGTAGCCTTTCCCTTCTCCAGGGGATCTTCCCAACCCAGGGATCGAACCCAGGTCTCCCGCATTGCAGGCGGATTCTTTACCAGCTGAGCCACAAGGCAAGCCCTTTACATTTATAGCGTATCTGAATTTGAACCAACCGCATCTCAAGTGCTTGACAGGTACACATGTCCAGTGGCTACTATAATAGACAGTACAGATCTAGAATATACATGAGTTTGTATATAATTTTACTTACCATAAATCTGCTAACGTTAACATTTTGTTATATTGTCATCTAGTCCTCTCTAGATATAATTTTTACAAAGTTGAAGTCATATTGTCTATATGACTTTATATCCTTCTCTTACTGTTTTATGTATCTTCCTACATCATCAAAAGTTATTCGCAATCACTGTCTTTAATGATCATGTCATAGACTCGCCCATCATGTGGATGTGTCAGAATCTCCTTAGCCAATGACCAGATGTTGGACAGCTGCAATTTTTCAATTTTACAAGTAATGCTGAGATGAAGATTTTTTGTGTTGTTCATGTTTCTTAATGCCTTGATGTAAACCTCTCTAGTATTGTAAACCTCTCTAGCCATTTTTAACAAAATGGGTTTTGAATACCATTAATCAGTCAAACAACTATCAACAAGTGCTTTATAGTGGGCAGCTGATCCACCCCTTTGATACCTGGCTCTGAAACCCAGGGCAAACCACTTTGCTTCTTACACTTGAGTCACTCTATTTATAAAATAAACTAACTGTATTAGATGATTTCTGAGAGTCTTTCCAAGCACTAACCTTCAATGGTATTTTTCGCTCACCCTCACATCTAACCAATTAACCTATCAAGCTAGTAATCTCAAGTCCTAAAGTAACGTCAAAGCCACCTCGTAAACATTTAAAAATATATCTACTTCTCTCCATCCCAGTCACAGTGCCTTTTCACAGTGCTGTGTACATCATCTCACATCTAAAGCGTGTTGGGAGTATCCAGTGTCGAGAGAGATTGAGTTCTAAAGGTAACAGCAAAATCCAAGATCAAAATAGGACCAAACGAGATAAGTGTGAAAGCCTGGGGCTGGCACCGAGTTGATGCTCAATGAATATTTGCTGCTTTTAAATCTGAAACCAGCTTCTAGGGCCCCACTTAGACCCAGTCCCTGAGAGGCTGTGGAGGGGTTCACATGAAACTTCAGAGGTGCGGCTGTGCCCTGCTGGGAGCCAGCCTGCCCCAGACACTGGGCACTCTCAGAAGACAAAGACTCAGCAGCTTCCCCTAAAGGGCTCACAGTCTAGAGGGGGAAATAGGAACCCCTGTCCACAAAACAAAGATGCCTCAGGCGGTGTCTTCAATAGAAAAACCAGATGGAGAACAGAACAATTATCTGAGCAATTCAGGCAAGCCTGCTGTTGAGGAAAATGCATGAAGAAATTTGTTCTGTTTCCTTTGTGAACCAAGGGGTTAGGGAAGCCTGGGGTAGCAAAATTATTTTGGGTCTACAAAAAGTTCAGAGTTCTGGCCTATGCTCTATGCTCTTAGGCAAACCATGAAGCCGCTTTTTGATCTTAGCATTTCCATGGGTCAAATAGAGTTAGGGTAATACCAACCTTGTTCACACCTAACCACTGACTGGATTGAGTTGTGAGGTTGAACCCAATGTTTATGAATGGGGAAAATAGCTATTAAATGAGGCAATCTAATAGCTGCATAGAAAAGGGAAAATGTGTCTCCTAAAATTCTACTCCTCTTAAAGGAAACGTTTAGTATTCATCAATAACATCTGTATTGAACTTTATAATATGTAAGGGAATTTTATATGCATTTATTCTATTTTGCTTTCAAAATCTCTTGTGGCAAGTATCATCATTTGTGCCTTTTACACGTAAAGATACTGAGACAGAGAGTTTAAATAACTGTTCAAGTTTGCACTATTTGCAAGGGCCAGATTCGGGCTCTCCAACTCTTTAATTCTTGTTCCACTACTCTGTTCTGCTTTCCACTAAAATCCTTATCACCAAAACATTAATATTATTAGCACAATATCAGTAATGTTTGTTATATGCAGTCCCTTTGATCAAGGACTCTGCAACATCCATAGAAGCTCTGGAAAAAAATTGCCCAACATGTAAGAAGAGCAAGTTCACTTTCTCATATTAAGGAAAAGTAGCTGTCCCCATCTGATTTGCATTTTATGCCATACAGCAGGAAATATTTAAGTTGACAAATAGGATATTTACAACCGCAACAGATACTTGGCAGTGAGTTTTTAACAATTGTTGCAAATGTGATTTATTTGCTATTATAAAAGGGCATTACTGTGTGAATATGATTCCTGAAATTAGCTTCAGTTTAGCAAGGGGCCTTGACAGCCTGACCTCTTAATATCCTTATAATGATGCCATTTACATTCAATGCTTACTCAAGTCACTCACTGCTAGATTTGTTTGAGGGGCGTCCACTCTAGGGCAGATGTATTATATATTTTAACATACAAAGTTGGTGTGTGAGGCACATGTAGGCCTTCTAAGGGAAAAAACTATTTAATCAAGTCTTCATGAAAATGTGTTAGTTTCCAACTTCCTACAGTGAAAATGCATTACTGCTAATTACAGCATACTCCAGAAACACAATACTTCATGTTTTCTCCACAAGACATTTCCATGGCATGGATATATTAAACAAAAACACGTTTGATCCTCTGTGCTTCAGCTTTTGGTGTGACTGGGAAGCTGGTCCAGGGTAAGGATGGACTGGGTCAGGATCGATGCCATCTCCTCCAGCAGGGAAGGGGCAGAGGGTGGACATAGTGCCAGGCAGAACTGGATTCTAACTGGATTCGAACCCCAGCACCACCACTTCCTAGACACGGTTGCCGCTCTGAACCTCTGTTTCTTTATCAGTGACATAGAGCTGTTATATCTAAGGTTATTATGAAGATCTGAGGCGTCTGTGAAGCCCCTGGCACACTGGAGGTACTTGATACACGGAGACTGGCCGTGTGCGTGACTCGCCAAAGCTCAGATGCTACTTCCTCCATGATACGGCCCTGACATCACTAGCCAGACTCGACCTGCCCACCCCTTCTGCTTTGGTGGTCGTTTGTTCCATCCCTCAAGTATTCACTGTGTTATAATTAATTGAATATGATTCCGTCTTCCCCTTCTTGGTGGTAGGATCTATGTCTCTGCCTTTTACACGTCGATGACTAGCACAGTAATATGCCTTGAGCATCGAACTGAGGAGGATTCTGGATTCAGTGTAGGGTGGGGGGGGTATGGTCTGCCACAGGAGAGGGTGGCACATGACCCACTTTGCCAACAGCGGTTTAGCACATAGTAGATGCTCAGTAAGTATCTGTCAAGGGAGTTACTGGACAGTAATCAAGCATCTAATAACTTAAGAGTAGCTTACTGTTTACATGTATCTGTCTCTCAAAGCATTTTAGTTTCTATTGCATCAAAGTATCCTTCTAGGACTTCCCAGGTGGCCCAGTGGTAAAGAATCCACCTGCTAATGCAGGAAACACTGGAGACAGGGGTTTGATCCCTGGGTCAGGAAGATCCCAGGAGTAAGAAATGGCAACCTACTCCAGTACTCTTGCCTGGGAAATTCCATGGACAGAGGAACCTGGTGGGCTGCAGTCCATGCGGTCACAAAGAGTTGGACACAACTGAACAACTGAGCATGCATGCACGCACACATCCTTCTAATAACCCTGGTATTCAGCTATGGTGACTGCTATCATGGCTTCCTGGCGTAGGGTGCGTGAAATGACTTTCTTGTACTCTTAAGGTAAAAATAGTGGTAGAGCTAAGGCTTGTCGGCCAACCCTAAGCTTCCCTTAAGAATCATATTGCAACATATGGAATCTAGGAAAATAGTACTGATGAAACTATCTGCAGGGAAGAAATGGAGATGCAGACATAGAGAACGGACTTGTGGACACAGCAGGGTAGGAGAGGGAAGGATGAATTAAGAAAGCAGCATTGACGCATGTACAGTATCATGTGTAAAATAGATAGCTAGTGGGAAGCTGCTGCATTATAGAGAACGCAGCCTGGTGCTCTGTGACAGCTTAGAGAGCTGGGATGGGAGCGAGGAGGGAGGCGCAGGAGGAGGAGACATATATATATGTGTGTGTGTGTATATATATATAATTATAGCTGATTTGCATTGTTGTACTGCAGAAACACCAACACAACATTGTAAAGCAATTATCCTCCAATTTAACAACAACAACAAAAAAAAAACCCAAAAACTAAGTTTAAACTTTCCACAATAAAAAAGTTATTTTCCCTCCAAAAAAAAAGAAGAATCATATTGCAATTCCCAGAGAAGCCAGCACTGCTTTTTCTGAAGCCAGGGCAAGCTGCCCTTTTCTAATATTTACTCGCCCTTTGCCTTCTCTGTCTGCTCCCCTTTTACTCCCCATCCCCTGGAGTTCCCGTCCAACTTCATTTCTCAGTTGAAAGCCTTGCACTGGCCACTTTAGAAATGGCCAACCGCAGGCAGAAAAATCAAAGGATAAGGGAGACTTTCGGAACCGGGCCTCTCCACCAAATTATCTTGGCCAGGTATTTCCAGTTGTGTAAATGCCCCACAAGAACCTAGAATCCTCTGACAAGAATCAGACTGAAGGCTCTATCCTTCTGTTGAACAAAGGAGAAACATAAGCAACAGCATCTTAAGTCATGTATTCACTGGTGTAGTCAGGTCTGGTGTGGCTCAGGGTGGTTCAGGGCGGCCATGGATGCGGGGACCTTCTCTCCTGCTCGCGGTTCGTACCCTCACCTCTGTGGTTCCTGTTCTACTCAGGTGTGGGCAACAGGCCTCAACCTCTCGTACAGTGACCAGCTGGCCCTGACTCAGCTCACCTTATACTTGACCAATGGCCACCTGGATTGCAGTTTGAGCACCCTTGAAGTGCCCCGCTTTGCTCCCAAGAAAGACAAGAAAATGAACAACCTAAATGTTCAGAAAGTGCCGGTAAGTGACCAATGATGCATCCTGATTCTCCTCAGTGCCATTTACTGAGCTCTGGTTGTGTGCCAAGCTCTATGGGTCCAGAGGGAAGAAAATTTCAGGCAAATCTTTGAATCTCCCAAAATGGGCATCTGGCAGAGGGGAGGCAGCATTCTATAGGAACGGGGAATGTAGGAACAGGGAATGTAGGAACAGGGAGAAGCACCATGTGGAAGGATGGAAGAGCATGGGGCTTTCCAGGGCTGGATGTCTGGGTGTTCCCCTCTGTTCTCTTCTCAGCTCACTTCCCAGGACAAGTACATCTATATCCACTGCTGCAGTTCCCAGAAGCTTCCAACCAAACCTGTATTTTTCTAGCCCAAATCTCTTTTTTGAGCCTCTGATTCCTAAATTCTATATTCAACAGAATGTCAGAGAATCTTCAGGCTCAAACTACCCACAGTTGCACTCATGGTCTCTCCTTCCTTATACTTCCTCTTGGTGAGTCAGGCCAGAAGCGGATCAGTCACCCTATGTCCCAACATCCAGTCGGCAAGCAACTCAAGTTGATGCCTGCTGCTAAAATGCCTCAACTCTGACCCCTCCTCTCCCCATCAAAGATACAGACTTCATTTCAGCTTTCAGGGTCTCACACTAGTGTTATAATAGCTTCTCACTAAGATTCCCTGCCTCCTCTCAAGGAAGGCAAGGGAGTCAAGGCGAATCTGAGCATGTTACTACACTACTTAGGATTCTGAAATGACTCCTGTCATTTTTGGGAAAATCCCAACTTCTCAGCTTGGTTGATGAGGCCCCTGATGATCCATGGCCCAGTCTCCCATCTCGTCACTAGCCTAACTCTAGGGGGCTGGAGGCAGTAGTAATGGGACTGATTAAGGTTTACCAACCTCAGGACTCTGGGTAACAAAGGGTAAACCTCTATGGGGACAGTGGGCTAGGCTGGTCCTGAGGAAGGAGAGCAAAGGTCAAGAGGACCAGATGGCCCTTCCTCTAGGTGGGATGTGCAAGCAGATTGGGGCTCAAGCCACAGCTGCTCTGACAATGCCAGAGGGTTTCTTCTGCCTCCTCTCCCAATAGGGGGCTTTGTGCTCTTCCTGCAAATGAAGCTCTCCTTGAGATCTGATATGTCAAGCAGATAAAAGAGGAATGCCAGTGGTTAATAGAACCCCCACACCAGTTCCCTAGAGAGATCACTTCAGAGCAGGGTCTGCTGCCTCTCTCTTGAGTCTCTTTGGATCCAAGAGACACCTCTGGGTTTAAAGAACCCTTTTTTGACTCTGCCAAGGATCCCTATGTCAGCTTCCTTAGCAGGAACTCAGTGTACACTTGGAAGGGTAGCCTGAACAGCGTGCCAGATGTCTTGGAGGGGCTGAAGCAGCCGCCTTCTCCTCCTCAGTTCACTTGTCCTGTGAGATACTCTTGTTCATGCAAACCTCTTAGCTCTCTTTGCTTATTAAGACGAGAAGCAGCATTGGACTAGGGATGAGAAACAGATCTAGGACCTTGCTAGGGATATCCCAGGTTTGGTCCCACCTGTTCCCTCTGTCCTCACCAAAGGGACCTTTACCAGACTCTAAGTTCAGTGCCAGAGCGAGAGACAGCAGTACAGTTTGATACCTTCTGGCTTAGCAAACCCAACTCCATGCCATTTCCCAGAGGAAGCTGGACGCTGAGTTAGTATTCAACGCAAGACTTCCAAAGACAGTTCGCTGCATTTAAATATGTTGCTTCAGAAACCTGCAAGCAGAAGCTTCACTTGGAATTAGAAGCACTCTCCCATCTTCCCCATCTTGCCTATAGATTTCAATCCTAGCTAAAGGCAACATACAGGAATTCTCCCATGATCAAGAGTCTTAAACACTTTTAGGAACACTTTAGGAACTCAAGAGGGAAGCATTATGATCTTCAGTAAATCAAATGTCTCTACAATCACTGAAGAAGAGCTATGCAGGTTTACTGACGGAGGGACAAAGTGAAAGTACTTTTGCTTGTAGAAAGAAAAATGGAGGTTCTCACCCTGGTGCCACTGTGCACGTACATGTGCTCCTATGCACATGTGTACATGTGATGGGAAAGTTTTAAAGGAAGCATGCACACATGCACATGGTACAATTTACAACCAAAGTGAAGCTCCTGAACAAGTGTGAACAGACTGTGATGCCATCAAGTTTACAATCAGTCAGCTGACAAACCCCTTTGAAGACAAGAAAAAGGAAATGCACAGATAGAACCTAGCAATAATGAGGGCACATTCAGAATGAGTACCTATAAAAGATTTCCAGTTTGGGCCTATTCCTTTAAATAATATGCTGTGTAGGGGGAAAGTAAAAACTTTTCTGAACTCTAAGAGCTATTGTCCCCTTAGTAGAAACAGGTGGCAAATTACTCTCATTTAGACCCGTTTAGACCACGTGCACGGACTTCTGGTCCAGTGTCCTCCACAAATAACCACTTGAAGGTGGAAACAAGATCAGATGAGTCCCAGATGTGTGTGTTTTGAAGATGAAAAGGAGTCACCCAACGGTTTTTCAACTTTTAATTAACACTCTGCCAGAGTGGACATAAATTGTTATCCTTTTTTACCTGTTTTTACTGTTCTTCTCTCGGCGGACCCTCCACAGCACAGTTGGTGAGGGTGATCCCAAAAGGGATCATCTCTGCAAACATCTTAAAACAACCCCAGTCATTTATAAGCATTTTAACAGCACATGATCTGTAATGAATGATTAAGTAAAACCTTTTGTGTTAAATTATTATGTTAATAATGATTCTGTCTCCTGTAATTTATTATGAATTCTCCAACGCTTCGGGTTTGATTTTGATAGAATGCAACAACAACAGAGTTTATGTGATGACTTTATTTTTAGAACTCCTTCTTTGAAGGCACACATTTCCCCACTACTGCTGCTACTGTAATTATGTACAAAACCAATCACTCATTAGAGTTAGGATACATTATCTTCTAGACAGATGAGGCTAAATAAGCAACACATTAATAATTCAGAGAGCAGTTCATTATGCATGTGGATGCCTGCTTCGTAACTGAAATAAGAACCTCATCAGCCTCTGCCAACCCTTAAACAATAGTTCTGTGTTATTGCCACCACATTCAAGTTTACGCTTGTTAAACTGCTACTTGGATTATTTTATCAAACATTCATTTATTTGTGGTCCCTTACTGCTGAGAACAGATTTTGGAAGCTCTTTTTTTAAGTTAATGATTTGAGCAATGGGTGTTATTAATTCTCAGAATATTATAAACATGATTAATTTTCAGGCAGAGATTTATTACATAAGGATTTCAACTATGTCAACTGAAATGCATCACTGTCAAAACAAGTATCATGGCGAAAATAGAATATGCTCCACACTTCAAGTGCTGGTGCCCAGAACTAAATCAATTTAAATTGTGGTTGAAGCAAAATTATATTCTCCAGTGAAAAGGAGTATTTCAAGCTTCCTTTATTTAGCTTGAAGCGTTCTTGTTAGATTGTGATTTAGAAAGGTAGTTTAATAAAACTAGACTTCTACCAGTAATATTTTGCCTTCTATTTTTTTCCCCCTTGTTTTCCTAGAAAAGGCTAATCTCTGAAATTCCCACACACTCCAAACGTGGCCAGTGGGAATTTGGAGAGAGCATGACTGCACTGGAAGTCAGAGGTCATGAATTCTGATGCTTTCTTGGGCCTCAGTTTCCTGTTTTGCAAAATAGGGGAGGTCTAAATGATCCCTAGAGTCTCCTGAGGCATTTACTTTTTATGGGGCTTGTATGTAGAGTAGGACTCTGTTTCAAGCCTGACCTAGGCACCCTCATGTACAGTGAGGCCTGGGGAGGGGGGATTTGTCCTGTAAGGAGACACAGGAAGGGCCCATCCCTCTGTACCACAGCCTTCCATTGAAAGGTCTTTTTCTTGAAGAATCTTTTAGAAAGGTGTAACACTGTTGTGACAGGTCACATTGTAAGTTCTCACCAGCCACACCTTAGCTATCAGTTAAAACTTTCAGCCAGAATCAATTGGAAGTAAGTTCACCTACTTTGTGCCAAGCATTCTGCTAAGCACAGGGGATATAAGGATAAGTAGTAGAGAGCTCTAAGTTTTCCAAAGGACCGAGATAGATAGCATATAACTATAATGCATATAATAACATGATAATAACATCCAAAATATACTGAGCCTTTACTCCTCACCAGGTACTTTAACCAAGTGCTTTACATGAATCTTTATACAACTTAATATATGAGGCAGGTGCTATTATTATGCTCATATTTAGATAGGAAGACTGAGATTAAGAAATGTTAAGCAACTTGTGGAAAGTCACTCAACAAGCAAGTGTGGAAGCCAGGATTATGCCCAGGCCTGTGTGCCTGACCATTGTGCTACCCAACCTGCCTTGTGTTGGCTGAGAGTCAATGATTCAACCCCACAGTACAGCTTCAGCTCATTCCTGAAGAAATCTCTGGGTGAAGCCATGGAAAAAGCTCTTCTTCCAAAGGAGGCCTCGTCTCCCTGTGTGATGAGGTTATTTGCAGACATATTAGCATTATCCATAGGCTCCTAATCTGCTCTGAGCTAGGCCAGGACTCAGTGAGCCCTGAATGGTCCAGATGGTTGTGGAGGAATCTTCTGATGCAATAAAACCCATTTAGATTATGACTCCCTTGGTAAACCTAAATGGATTTTACAGCATCAGAAGCAAGTTGGTTAAAAATGGCACTTTCTATTTGTTATAATTTGTATAATGCTTTACACTTTAAATAGATGTGAGCTTATTTAACCACTAGACCATTAAGGTATGACCTAAATCAAATCCCTTACTATTATACAGTAGAAGTGACAAATAGATTCAAAGGATTAGATCTGATAGACAGAGTGCCTGAAAAACTATGGACAGAGGTTCATGACATTATGTAGGAGGCAGTGATCAAAATCATCCCCAAGCAGAAGAAATGCAAACAGGCACAATGGTTATCTGAGGAGGCCTTACAAATAGCTGAGAAAAGA